GCAAAATACCGCAAGTAGTAATACTAAAGAGCGTTTATCCAAAAAGAGTTGTTGTAAACATATTGGAATCAAAGCTAGAGAGCTTGAGTGTTTGTGTTAGGGGTTAGAAAGTATATGAGAGAAGGAGGTATAGGGGAGAGAGAGAAGGAGTTGGCCGAGTGGTAGACATGGGGGAGCGACCAGGACGAGCGGTAGATGAGGAGGAGCGACCGGGACGAGCGGTAGAAGAGGGGGAGCGACCAGGACGAGCAGTACAAGAGGGGAAGCGACCAGGACGAGCGGTAAACGAGGGGGAGCGACCAGGACGAGTAAACGAGGGGGAGCCACCAGGACGAGCGGTAGAAGGGGGGGAGCGACCAGGACGAGCGGTAAATGAGGGGGAGCGACCAGGACGAGCGATAAATGAGGGGGAGCGACTAGGACGAGCGGTAGAAGAGGGGGAGCGACTAGGACGAGTGGTAGATGAGGGGGAACGATCAGGTCGAACGTGGAAGCAGCAAGGAAGCATCCTAACTGCCGCACAGTTAGGATGAGCGGAATTAATTAGAGTAATAAGAGAGATATTCTGAGAAATTCAACAAAGGATAATTAGAGTATAAAGCCATATCTTAGTGTATTATTCAGTATAAGTTAAATAGAGTAAATAAGGATAAATATATTCGTATCATATAATTATAGTAAATAGGATTATTTTCTAATATTCAGTACATTTTGTGGAGGAATTATAGTATAAATAAAGGGGAAGACTAGTGTTAAAGGCATGCTTTTGATTGTGAGTTTTGTAAGAGAGGTTATGCTCTCAGGTAACTGACGGAGATCCTTCTCCTAGTTATTGTTGTTCTTGGATTTAGTTATTTCAATTCAATAAAAGAGGTTTATTCAACTATTTTCCATTGTTCCTTGTCTGTGAGAGTGTGTGAGGAAATACTCTAGTTACGTTCCATACTCGGATAGTAACAATTTGAGTGCTGGAGAAAGAGCCAAAGAGTTTGAGTGAGATGACCAACCTTGCAAACAATATGCCCTTGCCTACGTGAACAAAAGGCATCAACTTTTTGTCAGGCGAGTTTGTACTTGATTCCCAAGAAGTAGGAAGTGGTTGAAAATGGCCACCAAGAACTAGCAAGTACTAAATGATTGTTGTCGAATGCCCAACTCCTTACATTGAGAGCATCATGACTGAAGGACAAAGCAACTTTGTACGTGCTATATCGAGTTGTCGATGAGTCTGACTTTGAAAAGATAACAAATGCTACATCTTCAAAAGAAGCATAGGACATTCTGGAGAAGGCATATAAGGGGGATAATTGTGTACAGCAGGTTCAACTTCAAAAACCTAGGGGAGAGTTGGAGAGCATGAAGATGAAGGAGGTTGAAGGATTGGTTGAATACATTTCTCAAGTTGAAATCGTGTCAACTCGAAAGGAATGGAGAAACACTGCCACTAGTCGAGTAGTGGAGAAAATCTTGAGGTTGCTATTTGACGACTTGAGAATATAGTTTGCAGTATTGAGGAGTTTAAGGACTTGTCAACGGTCTCAGTTGAAGAGCTTGTCGGGTCACTTGAGACACATGAGTAGCGGAGAAGAAGAAGAATGAGGAGTCACTTGAACAAGCACTTCAAGCAAAGGGCATCGATTAAAGAAAAGAAGGTGCCTTACTTAGAACACTCAAGGCCATGGTAGTAGAGGCAGAGGAGGATACGGAAAAGGTAAAGAACAATTTGTTCAAAAAAATTGAGTGGCTAGGATAAGGCAGAGGTCAAGGAGGTAGAGGTCGAGGAGGTCAGTCAAGCAGCTCAGGAGTTACATGCTTCAATGTGGAAGTATGGTCTTTTGCTAAGGATTGCAACTCAGCAATTGATATAATTATGGTAAAGTCGAGCATTTTGCAAAGGGCTACCGGGGTTTGAGAGCAAGAAGGAAGTAAACTTCATCTATAAAGATGTTGAGGAAGGAATATTAATGACGTCGAGTAGTTTGGGTGCCAAGCCAAGTCAAATTTGTTTTGATAACTCAGTTTTGTACCTTGACACAGGAGCAAGTAATCACATTTGTGGGGATGTGAACCTTTTTAAGGAGCTCACTAAAGTCGAGGTCGAACACATGTTGTTTGGGATGCATCCAAGGTACCAGTGAGAGGCCAAGGTACATTCTGGTACCTGTAAAAGAATGGCTGAGTTGGACAAATCAGAGACGTGTATTATATAACCGATCTCAAGAGTAACGTATTGAGCATGATCCAGTTGATGGAGAAAGGATAGTTGGTTTTGATGTAAGACCGAGTACTATACTTGATTGTCCAAGTAGAAATGAAGAAGAATATGATGTACAAGTTGGATTTGAAGATAGTCCAAGAGGGGTGCTTGAATTTCGATGTAAAGGGTGAGGCCATGATGTGGCATTTTCGGTTTGGCCACTTGCATTTTGGTGGACTAACCGAGTTGGTTAAGAAAGGAATGGTGCTTGGACTTCCAAGTATGGAGATTGAAAAGAAGTTTTGCGAAGAGTTTGTGTTTGGAAGCATTCAGGGACTATGAAGTGGGATTGATTCATACAGAGCTATGTGGATTGATAACCCTTTAGTCTTTGAGTGGGAAAAGGTACAAGGCTATGAAGTGGACGTGTAGGACGAGAAGTGGAGAAGGTTATGGTAGGGATGACAATGAATCGGGTTGGGCATGGATAGTGCATATCCGCTACCCGACCGCAAAAAAAATCCACTTGCTACTCCTCTCTACCACGTGGATACCCGTTTAAAAAATACCCACAGGTATTTTAAAACCAGCGGATACCCGCGTGACTCGCAAATATTTAAAAAAAATATACTTTTATAAATTTTTAAGGTTTAATACCCATTTTGTCCCACTTTGGTTCGGAAATCTCAAGTTAGTCCCTTTATAGAAATGTAAGTGCAATGGATCCTTACTTGTAATTATTTGAGTCTAATGAGTCCCTTCCGTTAAATAGAAGGAAACGGAGTTAGTGGGCTGATGATTTGGCAGTTGGTCTTTGGTGAGGTTCAAAGACGCAATTGTTTGCGTGCTTACGTGGTGTTAGGGTCCGTTCTTCTCGGAGTCGAAGCTGTGTCAGGAGTCGAAGCTGTGTGCGGTGCATTGTTGAACACCGTTTTGCAGGGTCCGTTCTTCTCGGAGTTCGATTTGGCCGCGCTCGCCTCTGATCTCGATCGCAAGGAGCGCCAGGTCATGCTGCCCGCACTCTCCTCTTCCGATTCGAATCGCACAATGTGTCGCTCGACGGCGATTTCTCCTCTGTCTTCTTTCTCGCACACGGAGATGCCCTAATCTCCAACAAATCATCCCCAAATCCTTTTATCCCCAATTTTTAATAAAACCCAATTTCAAAATGGGAACCCTCACCAGGTAAGCACGCAAACATGCGTCTTGACACCACCAAAGACAACTGCCACATCATCAGCCCACTAACTCCGTTTCCTTCTATTTAACGGAAGGGACTCATAGACTCAAATAATTACAAGTAAGGATCCATTGCACTTACATTTCTATAAAGGGAACTAACTTGAGATTTTCCGAACCAAAGTGGGGACAAAATTGGATATTAAACCAAGTTTTAAAATAAAAAGTGAATAAAATTACAAAAAAAAAGTTTATAAATATAATATAAATTAAAATTTAATTTTAATTAAACTTAACTTGATAAAATTAAATTAAATTTTTATTATTTTTTGTGGGTAGTGGATACCTGTGGGTACGAATAGTATAATACCTGCACCTGACCCGTTTATAAGTGGGTATCAAAATACCCATGGGTAATACATACTTGTGGGTATCAATTACTCGTCACGGATTTTATCTACCAGTAACCATTGGTGCAAGTTCTTTTGCCATCCCTAGCTATGGATGAGGAGATCAATGCATTTGAATACGTGGGAATTGATTGATCTGCCAAAAGGAGCTCGATCTATTGGTGTAAAATGGTTGTATAAGAAGACGAGCAATGTGAAGGAGAAGTTGAGCGATATAAAGCGCGACTTGTAGTGAAGGGATACATGGAGAAAGAAGAAATTGACTATGACGAGGTTTTTTCCCAATGATGAGGGTGGAAACAATCGGTTGCTGATTTCCTTCGCAACTCAACACAGACGGCCAATCTTGCAAATGGATGTGAAGTCACCATTTCTGAATGGAGTCTTAGAGGAGGAAGTATATGTTGAACAACCACTCGAATACATGCAAAAGGAGAGAAAAGATAAATATTATTTGAAGCAGTTTTGTTAAAAAAATAAATATTTTCTGAGTAAACAATTAAGACTTATTTATTAGAAATTATATAATAAAATATGATAATACAATATAATTAAATAAGAATTTAATAATATAAAAATATTGTAATGTATACTCATGCGATTTACACAACATAATTAGAATTAGTATCCTAAAAAATATTTTCATAATTATTTTTTAATATAATATTTCAATAAATAATTTGATTTAAATTTATATTTAAGTTAATATTGAAAAATATCATATAAATCAATATTAACAAAATTGTACAAATTTTATTTAATTTTTATAGTTACTTTTTCTAAAATGTATAAATAAAGCATATAAATTTTGTAAAATTAATATTATGATGCAAATATTTTAATTTCAAAATATATTTGAATAATAATAAAAAATTTATGTTTTAATTATTATATAATTTAAATTTATTTGTAACTATTATACATTATATATTAAGAAAGGAGTGAAGAAATTTGTTTATGCTATTATCTTAAACTTACCTTGACTCAATTCTTAATCCAAGAAATATAAATATAAGATAGATGACTACACTTTACCTTTTAGGATAAGATATAAGCTATAAGTATATTAATATATGATATTCAGAGTTTTATCCCAACCAACCACCTTACATTAGAATGTTTATGAAATAAATTTATTGATTATTGGATGGGCTTTGAATTACTATTGCAGCCCATTGACTATAATGAATGGGCCGAATCGTGCATATATATATATATATAATTTTGGACGTGCTTAGTTAATGACCGATTCGTCTGCTTTTCTAAACAATCCTTGCTGCTAGTGGGAATTGTGGCGTTGAATCAATTTTTCTCGTTCATTGTGTACTCTCAGACTCCATCTCAACATGGTAGTATTATCTTTGATTGTATTGTTATCTGTTTTTTCTGTGACCAATTTTGTGTTTTCTTCTAATTTTAAACAAAATTGAATTTGCCACACTGCAGGTTTGCTTGGCTTGTTTGTTGCCCCTCTTTCTGGTTCCGATAGTTAACATTCTTCCTCTTCTCTTCGATTTTATCATGGTTATTGCAATTTTCCATATTATGCTTTTGTTATTTTACATGCAATGGTAGTGATTAATGAAATTTATAGTTTAGGAGATGTATGGGTAGTTGTTAATATGCAATTCTCTTTTCAGGGAAAGATCTATGGAGTTTTTGGTTGGGAGTATAGGAAACCAGAGAGGGTTCCTCCTGCATGTCCATACAAACCTCCAACCTCTTCTGTTAATAAGGTAAGTGAGTGCGTAATGTTAATTGTTAATAGCAAAATGTAATTTCTATGCGTTGTCCATTTGTACTTTATCAATCAATCAGGTGATATAAGGTTGATTGGTAATTTGGTAGTAAAAGGGCTTGGAGACAGGTTTTAAATTCTATATTAACATGTTAAGAAGTGGATGAATAACATTTGCATGTAAAAGACAATTAGAAACCATGATGTATATGACTTTGAAATAGTTCTTATCCTAGGAACAATAACAAGACTTTTGTCAGTGACAATTAAAAATTGTGATATGTGTGACATTATGAAATATAACAAACTGTTTGTGTGAGGAACAATGACAAGATTTTGCCAGGGTGGTTCGATTTGGAGGTTTTGAAGGAAGATTCTGTTGTTTAATGGTAGGGTGGAGTAATATATGATTTCATCATGAACAACAAGGATGATTATTGTCTTTTAGTTTATTGGAAACAGGAAATAATCAATGTAATGCTGGGTTTTGAATTCCTCATTGGCCTTATGCCACACTTTGTAACCTGTAAGGATTGGGGAATGTGACTCTCCCTTTCAGCTAGTGTTATCAATAGTGGATAGCTGAGAATGGAGGAAAGCTTATAATGCATAGTAGGCATTTAGTTGAGGTCACCCAACAGTTGAAGGTGTGCCGTCTGTTATAGTGGCTATGTAACGCTGATGTCAGCTACCGCTTTTGTGGTGAGAAGTTGAGCTTTCATTTTGAAGTGTTGGCATCACAATGTGTCATTCTCTGAGCGGGGTTACCTCTTATGTGTGGTTGTATTGCATGGTGCAATGACTGAAGTATGTCGCTATGTAGAACATTCTGAATATTGTGAGTCATGGATACTAAGATATCACTAAAATTTATGGGACATGGGACAGAGATTTGAGATGGTTTTAGAGTAATTAGAAACACATTACACATCCATTAGTTCAACTAATGCCTTCCTAAATGATTTGGAATAACCAATTCATTGCACTTAAAGCTCAAGCTTTTTTCAGTACTTTAGGTTTTTGTGTATAGAATTTTTTAAAATAAAGTATGGGAGGGGGTGTGTGAATCCATGCCAGAAATATGGATTATGGAGCAGTGTTTTTCAGTTTATGAGAATTATTGAAAGAACCACAAACCACGGTTTATTAACTCTTTGTTGCTATAAAATACTGAGACTAAAACATAGACACGGACACTGTGACAACAATAATTCTCAAATTGTAATACATGAATATTGAGTATATATATATTGAATATCATTATGACTAATTGACAATCAAAATTTACATCCATAAAATCATCTATAGAAGAAGATAATTAAATATACTTAGGAAAAAATCTTTTGGCATTTCATACAACCTCTTGAAAATCTATTTTCTAATGTAACCTAGTAATCAAAGCAAATAAAGCTTTGTAATTGTAAAGAAAAGAGAGATGGAATTCAAAATAATAAAAAGAGAATTTAATTCAAGAAATTTTATGCTCTTATTAGTCATCATTGTAAAAAAAACACCTTTAATTTAGGTTTAAAGACAAATCTAATAAACAATTTGTTTGTTTGTTAAAGATAAAATATTTGACTTTCCAACTTTTAAAAAAGAATCACCATATCTACTCTCAAACCTAAATGTGAGTAGTTTCATTTAATAAGAAGTTTTTTAGGATATTGCAAAGGTTAAGGGTGCTTCTAGAGATTAAGGCATGCAATAGAGTTAATTAATTATGGTTTTGGTAGTAGTTATATTTAATGCATGTAGTTGAAGGGCCAAGGCAAAAGAGCTATAAATAGTTCATGTACTACCAAAAGCAAAATACCGCAAGTAGTAATACTAAAGAGCGTTTATCCAAAAAGAGTTGTTGTAAACATATTGGAATCAAAGCTAGAGAGCTTGAGTGTTTGTGTTAGGGGTTAGAAAGTATATGAGAGAAGGAGGTATAGGGGAGAGAGAGAAGGAGTTGGCCGAGTGGTAGACATGGGGGAGCGACCAGGACGAGCGGTAGATGAGGAGGAGCGACCGGGACGAGCGGTAGAAGAGGGGGAGCGACCAGGACGAGCAGTACAAGAGGGGAAGCGACCAGGACGAGCGGTAAACGAGGGGGAGCGACCAGGACGAGTAAACGAGGGGGAGCCACCAGGACGAGCGGTAGAAGGGGGGGAGCGACCAGGACGAGCGGTAAATGAGGGGGAGCGACCAGGACGAGCGATAAATGAGGGGGAGCGACTAGGACGAGCGGTAGAAGAGGGGGAGCGACTAGGACGAGTGGTAGATGAGGGGGAACGATAAGGTCGAACGGTGGAAGCAGCAAGGAAGCATCCTAACTGCCGCAACAGTTAGGATGAGCGGGAAATTAATTAGAGTAATAAGAGAGATATTATGAGAAGATATTCAACAAAGGATAATTAGAGTAATAAAGCCATATCTTAGTGTATTATTCAGTATAAGTTAAATAGAGTAAATAAGGATAAATATATTCGTATCAGATAATTATAGTAAATAGGATTATTTTCTAATATTCAGTACATTTTGTGGAGGGAATTAATTAGTATAAATAAAGGGGAAGACTAGTGTTAAAGGCATGCTTTTGATTTGTGAGTTTTGTAAGAGAGGTTATGCTCTCAGGTAACTGACGGAGATCCTTCTCCTAGTTATTGTTTGTTCTTGGATTTAGTTATTTCAATTCAATAAAAGAGGTTTATT